AGAACGGAAAAAATCCGCGGCCGCTTGAGGTAAACAGCGGGGGCGAACGAGGCGGGCGAGAAGGCGCGGCGGGATCCCCACGCAGCGGTCACAACCTTCCTGCCAGGCCTCCACCGAAGCACGAGGCCAAGGGGTTTCGAAAAACCGCCAAGGCCACGAACTCTACCCGCACCCAAAATTCCGCTTCAAGAACATGGGGAGGGGGCCCAAGGGCCCGGGGGAAGAGAAAGGCACGCAAAGGCCGCGGCCGCCCGCCGAGGCCAGGCCCACGGAAGCCACACCCGGAACTCACCTGTATCCTGGCGGCAAACCCGTTGCGAAAAAGAACGTTCACGGGGACTACGGCACTTATATATGGTCCTCCCCCACCCTCGGGAAAAGGGCGGAGCCAGCACACGACACCACTTTCCCAGTTTACCCTGCGCCACCTCCACCAGGCACCCATTCGATCGCCATCCCCTCCCCCCATTTCTCGGGGACCGTGGGCGATGTGCGCTCAGCCCACTGACGAGCACACGGTGTCTCGCGCATGCTCCTCTTGACCCAGAGGATGACGAGAGTGTGTGGGAGGCAGGGTGGGGACGAGCGCTCCCTCGGCTCCAGGTTCGTGGGAGTTTATCGACGATCCCTGGGATTCCCCCGGGCAGAGGCGAGTCCTCCTTTTGTATGAATTACTCTCAGCACAGCTGGCGGGGGGGGGGGGGGGGGGGAGGCACCCCGGCGGGCACGTCCAGAATCTTCCCTGTACCGTTCCTGGTTTAACTGGAAAGGCGGACCGAGGTTGGAGTATTCCTTCACCCCGCAGTTCATCTCCAGTCCTCAGACTTGCCGTCTCGCAGGTCCGGGGCCAGCCCCTCGAGCCGCTTCCTCTGCCGGGGCTGGCTTCTCCCCCGCCCCTGCCCTCCGCGCCCCTTTCGGCTGGAGAGGAGTACAAGGCCCGTCTTTGGCCCGGGAATCTGCGAGTGGTTCAGTTCCGAGACCAAGAGCCCGCCGAATATGCTCCTGGGCTGTTCTCTTGGCTTTCTCCGTCCAAAGCTTTTATTCGAAGTTCGTATCACACATTCATACCATGTGGTACTCCAGACGTCCAGTTTTTCAGTTTAGAATAGACTTCAGTGCTACCGTTTGCTTTACTTCTAATTCTAGTGTTATTACATTAACGAGACCCTGAGTGTGTGTCTACTCTCCTGGTACATTTTTTCCAGTGTACACTCATTTGATTGCAAGCATGAAAAACCTAAAAAGAATTTCTCAAATTCAGGCTTTCCACGTGATCTCATGTAGAGACAAAGATCTACAAGCATCAGCAAGCTTATCCAGCCAGTTTACTATCCCCAACACTTGCTGTGAATCACTGCTTCTCAAAAATGGCCTACCCCATTCAAATAAATAGCTTCATTTTCCATCATCCTATTGATTATAACTGCATTTTAGGCATAAGTCTAGGGTGAGACTGCATAAGTCCTTTTCGCTTTGGCAGTCAGGGCAGCCAGACTCAGAAATAACTCCTGAAGGAAGAAGAACCTTTATTTTTAATGAGCTTAATTACTAGATAATTACGTCTCTTCTTCCACGTGTAGAACATCACGGCAACTTTTTGAGCCAATCTGTTAACAAATATTTGAGAACCTACTATGTGTCCAGGGCTAAGTGAAGAACTGTGGCTTGTGCAAAAGAAATACCGCCTTTTGGACAGGAACCCACAATCAAACTGGAAGAGGAAAACTAATATATAAAACAGTGGGAAGCAGTTAAAGGCAAATTTGTATGGTGCTTACTTACTTCCTATTTTATTGTAGAATATACTTCTTCCAGTCCTAGCTTTCAGTCACTTCTCACAGCCCAAATGCCCTTTTTTCTTTTTAAAAGAAAGTCTTTTGTTATAGCCTTCCCATATCTTGTTTTACCATCCTTTGTAGATACAAACGTCTAAAATTTTTTCTTTCTTCATTAGGAGTTTGTAGCCTTTTTTTTTTTTTGTAGCCTTGTTTTGAGATAGTTTTCATGAAAGAAACTAGGCTATATAAAGTTTCCATAGAAATACATATAACTAATCTTTTTCTAGCAACAAAAGCCTTTTCTTTTCTTTTTAAATTTATTTAATTTATTTTTGGCTGTGTTGGGTCTTCGTTGCTGCACGCGGCTTTCTCTAGTTGCGGCGAGCGAGGGCTACTCTTCGTTGCGGTGCGCAGGCTTCTCACTGCGGTGGCTTCTCTTGTTGCGGAGCACGGGCTTCAGTAGTTGTGGCATGTGGGCTCAGTAGTTGTGGCTCACGGGCTCTAGAGCGCAGGCTCAGTAGTTGTGGTGCATGGGCTTAGTTGCTTCACGGCATGTGGGATCTTCCCGGACCGGGGCTCGAACCCATGTCTCCCGCACTGGCAGGCAGATTCTCAACCACTGCACCACCAGGGAAGTCCAAGTCTATATTTCTAGCTTTTCTCCTTTCACAAATTCGTTTTTCACAATGCATTTTCCTAGTGCCCTTACCCAGTCATACACATGTGGAATGAGATTATCTTGATACGCAAGTCCATGTTTGTTATAAAATAAAGATGTAAGAAGTACCAGTGAAAATCAATCACTAGCAATAGAACAATGCAAATTACCTCATCTCTTATTTATTAACTTTGAAATATTAATTAGTGGCTAATCTCTTGGAACTAGATTCCCACAATCAGTGAAATCGGTATATCACAGTAATATTAACTGCACAGTGTTATTTCAAATTAAGATTAGGGTGCCGCACTAGTTTTATTATTTTCCATGCTTCTTTACCATGCTTTCTTTCCATACACCTCAAATGGTTTAGGTTTGTACATTCTTGGAGATAATACTAACAGGACTGGCAACATTTTGAAAACTTAACCAGTTATTTAGTGACAGGAGGGAAAGAAGCAAAACCCAAAGAAACCAAGAGTTGAATATTTCAAAGTTCGACATGAAATCCAGAATTGTAGTTAACACCTACCCTAAGAAAGAAAAAGTCAAAATGAAAACGGATGTTGGTTAAGAGGAAAGCATCCCATGTTTAGAAGAAAGTGAGAGAAGTGATCTCTGTAAAATACACACAATTCATTGAACGTTGTCCCCAAGGCCCTCTGCCTGCAGATAAGCGTATACACTTAAAATACCTTATGGAGAATCCTTTTTCCAAACAGCACCTACGGAACAGCAAAATTCTACATCACTCCTTGATTCGTTCGTAAGTAACCTCCTGAGCACCACTGACGGGGTGCTCTTACTCATGTTGCGATAAAGGCCGAGACTCTTGGGGACTGGAGGGATCTCGAGCCATACAGTGCGTTAGGGTCAGCCGGTGGCCACAAGCCTTTTCCCGGGGCAATGTTCACATTTGTGCTCTCGGTGGGACGGGAGCGCGGCGAGAACGCGCGACGCAGGGAAGCCCGGCGCGGCTCGGGGCGCACTCGCGTGGCGAGGAAGGACGGCAGCGGCGGAGCCTGCACTGCGGGCCGAGCCCGCGCCGTCCTTCCTCCGCGCGCGCTTGGACACCTGTGGGCCTGACGGGCTGGCTGCGGCGGCGGCGGCGGCGGCGTCGGCGGCGGGCGGGCTCAGCTCACTGGGGACCGAAGTCGCCCCGCCCCCGGCCACGCCCAGTCCTTGAGGTCACTCTGTTTGGTCCTCCGACTGCGGAAGGAAGCGCCCGAGAGGAGGCCGAAAAGCCCACGTGGCTTGGGGTGGGGGATGGTTTTCGTCATCGTGGCGTGGCCTCTGAAAGGTTCTCCAGACCCTATGTTTGGAACGTAATCCTGGAGCATTTTTTTCCCATGACGTTACAGCAGTTACAGTGTGCTTTTTACTAACTTAGACGTTAAACCGGTAACAGATAACATTGTTGAAACTTGTAAATGTGTTTTGGGATCGTAATCTAAGGTCGTATTTTGTTTAAGACTTTCCTTAAAGTTGCTTGTACCATTTAGAGTAGCAAACTGTTGAAATACATTGTAGTAAACATCTTCGCGACCCCTTTTAGGGGAAGAAAAAAAAAAGATCTTGGTAATAACCAAAGAAATTTACTTAGTAAAAGGCTGAACAGTGCTTTGGTATCTGTACAGTAATTGTGATTCACCGAGCATCTTTCAGCATTGGCTGATCTCTCTGCTTTGGGCCTAATTTAGAGCTGCTTTAAGTAATTAACATTTTGCTGTGGCTTGCCACATTTTCGTCTTGCCTCTGCCAATTGAAAATGATTTTTAAAAGGGTATTTTAGAACGTGATTATGCCAGGGAATTATTTGGATTGAGAATCCAAGTAAAATGGTACTTAAGTGTGCCAGGCATTGTTCTAATATTTGCAATAGTTAATGTAATCCCAGCACCCACATTTTACAGATGGAGAGCCCGTAGGCAACTGATAGTTTATGTGTAATAAGCAAATGCAGACATAAATTCCTTTTTAAAGTTTCACTCTTTTTCCCACAAAAGTGGTGAAATACACCTTGCTTTTTTTCACTGGATACATATTGGAGATCTTTTCTGTGAGAACACTGGG